GATACAAGTATACAACACCAAGTGAATTTAAACTTTATTTTTTGTATTTAAATCTAGAATAACTAAACTATAATAGACCAATATTAGTTTCTTAATGTAAATGCTTTTCAATGATTTCAATTAATATGATTGATTTCCATTATTAACAAGACTATTGTATCATTTAAAGTTGAACTTTATTTAATTTTTGTTTGAATAAAATATTTTAAAAGAAATTGGATTTGAACCATTTTATCATTATCTTATATTAAACAACTTTAAATAATTAATATAATTAAATAAATATACTAGAAAATTGTCATTATTTCAATAAGAAAGTAATTAAGGACATATTATTTTTTAAATAAGAATAAATAAATAATATTTTGATGGAATTAGGACTCAGTAACTAAGTGGATAACGTGATGGCGTTCGAAGCGAAAGGTACTGGGTTCGAGTCCAAGAGTGAACATCAACTCTGAGATGCAAGCACATTCAGCTGACGAGTTCCAAATAGGGCGAAACGCTCGTCCTGGATTCACTGCTAGCCACTATCCATTTTGATATAGTTCCTAACTTTCAATTAGATCAATAATAAATTAATTCTACCAGTCAATTACATGTTTTCATTGTAACAAATTTCCTGGGTTCGAATCTCTTCGAGGTGGGATCGTGGATGCGCACTTCTGAGGAGTCCCATAATAGAACGAAACGGCCGTCCAATGCTTCCAGATATTCCATCGTGGTTTAGCTTAAATTGACTCATGATCTCAACTATTGAAATGTAAAAGATTTTATAATTTGATAATTATTTTAATAATGATATTTATAAGTAAAACTGCATAAAGTATGAATATAATCAATTTCCTATGAAAGCTATGCTTTTTGATATGATAAGGATCGTTATCTAGTAAAAATCAGTGGGAAAAATTAATTTTTCAAATTGATTTTCTTAATGCAGAAAAAGAACAAAAAAAACAAGAATATTTAAGTTGACGATTATTTCCAATTACTTTATCTTCTGGCTAAACAGTTATTGAATTCATAATTATGGGAAAATTTGACTATAATTAAGAAATAATCACATTCCCAATAACGATTTTTAAGTCATGAGGTAAAAATTAAAATATGATATTGGCTGTTATCATATCATGATTAATTTCAGTGAAGAAACTGTAATAAATATGTTATCAGTTGTTGGATTCTTAAGGAATTCGGTTACCTGTATTTATGAATGTTAAACGGTAGTGAGAGAACCTAAAGAAATACGAAATGAAATGACGTTTGAACCCTATTCACATTAGCATAAAAAAGCAGTTAGATATGTTTATCTTTCCGAATTCAAGTTTAGATTCAAGCAAATAATTCTTCTCCCAATGTGGTGAGTAAAAAAAGAACAACTGTTGTGCGTGTTTTTTACAGTATAAATGTTTGTTTACTGTTAGTTAATTTCCTCATAAAGCATAGTGGCACACACCAAAATTGTGGAGGGTATTTGATGCACTTTGGAAAACTTTTTATGACTATAAAAAAGATCTTAAGTAAAAATGCTTTAAACTCATATAGGTAAGTTTGTCCATTGAATTCAAAACAAAATGAGCGATAAACAATCTGACAAAACAATATTATTTTGTATTTATTCCATTAGTTACCTTAGTTTACTCATATATGTCACCCTGTTTTCTGATTAGTTAAAAGCGGTTAAGACAATCTTGGAGTCGTATCATCGATCACCTAACTGATAATATATATCAAATTTTTACATCCAAACATACATAGAGAGTCATTTGTTAATTCGAAGGTTCATTTAGAAGAGATGAAAAATCATATTTTTGTGCTCACTTATAATCAACATAGTGAAATTAGTCGTAATATATATTAACAGGATGATCATGACTATAGTGATAAGAAAATCATATGAACAAAGAAAGGAGAGTATGAAATTAGGACTTTAATCATAGAGTTTGTGACTACTTTTGCTGATTATGACGATACATTTTTACAAGTGCTCAAGCACAAAGCCTTCTGAGTACAGTCCACGTAACTAGTTTCAGAGCAGCAGTTAAAATGATATAATCACATTGAGAGACTCATTATCGGTATCTTAACCTTTGTTCGGTTTGTAACTAATGGATTAGTCAGGATAACATGAAATTTAATGATATTATGCATATTTTCAAAAGATTTCTTACGTTGACGTGTTAGAATGTCTTCAGCTATATCGTCTCCAAAATTGACTCTTACGTAGAAGGCTTTTCTCTCACTTTGACCGTATCCTATTATTGCATTGATAGATATACTTTTTAATAAGATCGAATGAATACACGTTATTAAGTAAGGTTTTCCTTAGTCTTCCTTTACTATCCTAGTCATCCGGTCCTACGAATAAGAAAATTAATCAAATTTACTTCCCACTAAAGAGATTTGAAGCCTTAAAAATAGAAATAGTAGCCAATTCATGTATTCTTTTCAGGTATATTCCATTTTTACAAATTCGTCCATTGTTTTGAAAAGGAGGATATTAAGAGAATTTATATTATTTTAGTTTTTCTCTTCATGAGTGAATCTGATGACAAAATGAGAGTTATAGAAACTGTGCATAAACTTATTTATCGACACTCTAGTCAAACATAGTGAGTGTATAGTCTGAGTAAAGACAGTGGTATTCAAGCTTATCTAGTATGTTTTGCACTGGTTTTATTATTTAATTTTTATAAAAAAGATTTCAGTTAATATCAAATCAGGAGGAGATTTCATCGAAACTACATATATTTGTCAACAAAATTCACTTTACATTAGCTTGTCATAACTTATCTTACTGATATTGATTGTATAAATATTATTTTCCGGTAGTTGTTCGTATATTTAGTCGATGATTTGCGTTAATATAAAGTCTGTTTAGAGACAATATAGGTTTGCCAATTAAATTTATATTCTTACCCATGAATTAAAATATATCCTTTACCCTAATTTGGTCTAAAAAACAGAATCCCTAAAAAATTCCTGATAGAACTGAGATTTGTGAATTGTATTTTTAAAATTGTACACTCATAAATATTACAATAGTAATGTGATACACATATGTCAATCACAAAGACTATTATTGTAAGTTTATATCCATTTACTTGAAAAGATCTATTGTTTAACATATTGAGTGGCCAATTATTTTAAAATATACACTTCTCTAAAATAAACTTTATAAAATAAACAAAATCAAAAATAATCACAAATTAGGATATCAGAAGGGGGTTTTGTGGAGATTTTAGCAATTTTATATAGCTGAGATCATGAGTCAATTGAAACTAGACCACCATGGAAAACATGGAAGCACTGGACGGCCGTTTCGTCCTATTGTGGGACTCCTCAACAGTGCGCATGCACGATCTCGCCTCGCGAGAGTTGGAGTTCAACCAGGTCTGTTGGGAGACATCAACTCACTGAACACATTGATGAATGGTTGCTCAATTTCGTGGATTGGTTGAAGTTAGACAATAACGCCGTCGGATGATGGCCCAGTGGTCCATCGGTTAAGTGCTCGCGCGTGAGACTGATAGGTCCTGGGTTCAAATCTTGTGAATGCGGGATCGTGAATGCTCCCTGCTGAGGAGTCCCACAATAGGACGAAAGGTCGTCAAGCAGTGCTTCCAGGTTTTTCGTGGTGGTGTAACTCTAATTGACTCATTATCTCAACTATACGAATTAAAATAAATTAACAGATTTAAGTTGATAAGACACTCATACTCAAGCTCTTCTTGGAAAAAAACAACAGCGGAATTTTCATCTATACATCAAGTATAAATCTGACCAGTTTCACTAACTTGATTATTACTTAAGGGTTTAAAACTGGAGCTCGATATCTTATCAAGGTGAGAAAGTTATGTGTTACTAAATTGCACAAATATTACCATGGGGCTTTCCGTGTGTTTCTGCTCTCTTAGTATGCAGGTATCAAGCCTCAAATTAATAATACAAATATTTGACTTTACTATAGATCAGAATAAAAAATGAAGTGTATTAGAAAGCATCATGAATGCTTTCATCTATCTTTTAGATAATCTAATATTTCCAAACATATTATGAATTACTATTATACTTAAATAAACCTTACTTTAACATTTCTACAATGATATTCATAAAACGGAATTAATCTGTCTAAACATGTATTTCCGTATAGTTTCTAGCGTCTTTATGTTCAGTATTCAATATTCAGGTGTTGTTACCCTTAGGGTGAAAATTTTTTCTATATATTTTCAATCGAAAAGCGACATGTTTTTATACTACTAATAATAAATCTTTATCAAGGTCAGACAATTTCGTAATAATATGTCATTTTATCCTAAGGATAAATCATATATTAATTAGATTATACGTCTTAGGTATTGAATGGAAGTGAAATATGAAATCAGTAATTAGATTTATACAACAAAGAATTAATAAACAATCATGTTAATAACTAATCTATTCGTTTTAGAAACAGCTGAGTAAATATTAGCTAGAATGCATTATGTTCATCTGAGTAAGCATGTTTAACTAGTCTTTTTCTCAAAACACTTTTTAATCAGACCAAATGGAGTATTAACGTACTCTAGTTATGCTTTCTTCGTTTGCTTAATTTTTACTTCAACATTCTGATTTTATACGTTAGTCAAATTACAGACTTAATGTTAGTTTTTCAGGAAAGTTTATTGTATTAGTTTTGGTACATGGTATAAACTTAAGGTGATCATAGAAGCTGTTGACCTAGTCTTTGTACATGTATGACATTATGTGTAAAATATGGTTGTATTGATGGGATAAAATACAATCTAAGTGCATATTTTACAAAGTTTATTGTTAAGAAAGCAGGTTGTAATAACTATATTCTCCAGAACGATTCATCAATTGGTTTAGTAGTAGACAAAAATAAAATATGAGTGTGCTCTTATTAGCTTGCTTATTACCATGCTCATACTAGTAAGAATATACAAACCAAAATTGTTAACTGATCTGTTTATTGTTTTTCTTTTCTTTCTTTTTGATAGGCAAAACGTCTGATTTATTAAACTACAACAAATGGAACAAGAAACAAAATGCAAGCCTAATCATATTTATGGCGATACTGTTGAACCAACTACAGATGATTCCATGACATCGTCTCATTATTGTTTTGGTTTAAAAACAAAATCACATGAGATTCATGAAGGAAAAAGTAAGTCACTATGTAAAAATCCAGTTGGTTCATCAACATCTATATCTATGCCAATTGCATGGCCTAAAAGAGTTGGATCACGGAAAAAATCAAATACAAGCACAGAATTTGAAGAAAAATCCGAATGTGGAACTAAAAAACAATCATTAACAGATGTAGCTAACAACGATAAATACAAAAAAGAAACAGATACACAAAAACAACGCTTTTGGGTAAGTATATTGATTTTTGGATATATTACATGAACTGATTTCAACTATTTAAACGGTGAATTCGAAGAGTAAACAGTTTACGTTCACTTAACAATAGTAGAAATTTCTAATAATAAAGTTATGTAAAGTTAATAAACTCACAGACAAGGATGCGTGTTGTGCGTTTTGACCCTGACAGAGTCATGAAGAGTTTCATCAAAAAACGTAACAACTGCCGAGTGCTCCTTAATTTTCAATGGTTATTTTATAGTAAAGGTAAACAAAAAATATTCAGTGTTAATTTAGCAATAGAAATTTCATTGTTAAGATATTACCATGTGCATTACTATTAAGATGTTAAAATAATAGGTCTAATTATTATTACTTGTACAATAAATGAATAATTTGGATGTTGACAACTATGTTTATTGAGTTGAAATCCGGAGTTTGTATTTGTAAGATTTAATGGGTGACTTTTATTTTTTGTCGAAAATTGTTACTTATTTTACCTTCCCTTTTTAATATCTGATGACTGACTATTATTATTAAATTACTACTCATTTTATTCATGAGTTATTAGTTCAGAATGTTTCAACCTTATAGTGATGAAATTTCCCGATTTTTAATTCCATTGATCAGAGCAGCCCCGAGATTCCTTTGAAGTCAAGCTCTTTATATGATTAGTTGTTTCACATTTCATCACCCATCCCTAACTTCGTGGTTTCAGTTCGTAGTCGTACTCAAAGAACTATACTTGAGCCTTTCTTAGGTTTGATTCATGTGTCAACAACTTTAGGTTGACTTTCACACGAATAGTTTTCAAGAACTCGGCTCTTAATTAATTATCCAGATGATCAGCTGAAAGTCACAATACACACAAGACCACCGAAATATTGTTTTCGTCTATACAGCAGGTCAACGATAGCTTAAAACTAGAATGTTTGTAGTGACGAGATTATGTATATCCATAAATACATATTCTTTGTCTTACATAATCATTTATTGATGTTTGGAATAGTTTTATTTTTGGTAAACCATTTGTTTATACAAATTCCCAACTCCTGTTTCTGATAGGATTTTGGTTCTTACAGCTTCTGTATTGTAGATTTTTGCAAATTTTAATACTGGATATTCTGTATTCTACTTCTACATTTTAAGTATTGTAAACTAGATTTTCTCATGAACTCTGAGAATATTATTTCAAATGTAATTTCAATAGTGACAAGAAAAGAAAATCCATTAATTATACACTCTAAAATAATAAATTAACAGATATTCATTTTAATAGTTGAGATCATGAGTTCATTGAAGCTAGATCACAATAGAAACCATGGAAGAACTGGACGGTCGTTTCGTTCTATTGTGGGACTCCTCAGCAGATATTCATTTACTAAGATTTATTCAATCTTATTTAAGTATATATTTTACAAACAGTGAACAAATAGTTTTCTTATATTCAATCTTTCATTATTGTTATGATTAATAACAGTAGTTGATATCTATTTATCCGAATCGATCAGTTAACGTTTTATAACAAATCTGACTGTGAATTATTGTTTGTTTTTTGTTGAGAATAATTTACATTTGTTTAAATCTCATTAATATTAAGAGACTTAATTAAATTAAACAATTTGAAGATTTAGTTACCATTAGTTCCCATATACAACTTTAATAAATTTCCCTTTAAATTATATTTTACAATCGAATTATTCTCTATTTTATTGCTTAAGAAACGATTCCGAGTAAGGACAATAGAAGACATAGAGTTATGTAGATTTTTGAATACACATAGATACGGTATGTATATACTGATCCAATAAGTGAATCAAATAATTATTTTCAGTATGGAGTTGTGAAGATTGTTGATTTTCAGATGATATCATGAATGGGTGAATGTTAGATCACCATTGAGAATCTGGAAACATTGGACGGCCGTTTCATCCTCTTATGGGACTCCTTAGAAGTGCTCTTCCACAATCCCTCACACAGGACTCCGATCCAGGATTTTTGGTCTCGCGCGCAAACGCTCAACCTGCAGACCACTAAGCCGACCGGCATCCAACAGTTTTAATGTCTAACTTCAACCAATCCACGATATTGTGCGAACGTCTACCATTGTCTTCAGTGAATAACTGCCTCCACAACAGACACGGTTGAACTCTACTGGCCACGGCCGTTCAGTGCTTCCAGGTTTTCAGTAGTGTTCTAACATTCATCCATTCATGGTATCAATTGAAGTAATTATTTGTTAACAAGAAATTGTTCGTGATCTGTTAGTTAAAATTTCTCCTTATCTATAGACCTTCATAAATTTCACTGAACTTTCGAATTCAACTAAATAGTTATGGTCTATTTTGTAGTAATTTACACAATGGTGTTTTACAGGAGGTTACTGTGTGTCATGCAAAAACAAAGTATTTTCTTAAGTAGATATCAAACCAAATGTAGATCATAGGGATGAATTACATAACTAAAATGTAATGAAGCATAGGTTTTTTGTACTTAGCTTTAAGTTATAATTTTTATAAGAGTAGGAGTTAGGTATTTGATTGTACAAACAGATGTAGACGATGTGAATTCTAAACTTGTAAGCCAATGCTCAACTCACTGTCAACTATTTAGTTTTTTTTCATAGCTTGTGTTTAAGAATATCATGTAAGTTTGGAAGATTTAAGACACTTATCGATATAAACATGTCTTCCCTACTGTCTTATGTGGTATGTTCACCGATCAACTAGATTTGATTAAAAGGTTTGTTGTGGTCTTCTCAGTTTTTAAGTGATTTTGGTCATGGGTTTAAATAACCTGAGATACTGATAAAAATCACAAGGCACTTCTGAGATGTTTCATCTATTTATGTGATTTCTCAGACGTGCTTTCATCTTCTCCCGTAGTGGGATAACTCAGAAAATCTGGGTTCCACAGATGACATGATACATTCAGACAACAAAGTTGAAATCCAGTGGAAAATATTTCCAACTTCAAGTCACTCATGAAACAAAAGGACAATCATTCAATCACAGTAGTATGGTGAAGGGTAACCGGACCAATTTAGACATGGTTAAACTTAAATAGTCCTGACCTAGATTTTAGGCGGATGAATCAAAATGACCAATGTTAGACAACCGTTGGAAAAATAAAAGCACTAGACAGCTGTTTCGTCTTAGTATGTAACTTCTACTGAAGATAAAGGAAGATGGTCGCGAAACATCGTGAATTGATTGAAGTTAAACATTAGCGCAGCTAGATGCTGATTCAGTGGTTTGAAAGTTAAGCGTTCGCGTGAGACTGAGGGCCTTGGGTTCGAATCCTGCGCGGAGGATCGTGGACGTGCACTGCTGAGGAGGCCCCTACTAAGACAAAACGGATGTTTATTGCTTCTAATTTCCCACCAGTGACCTAACATTGGTTGGTTCACAGTTTCAATAAAATTCACTTATATCCTAAACCTCATAGTTAAAAGAATCAATACAAAAAACGTTAATAATTTAAATTGTCCATCTGATAAGAAATTGTCACACAAATTTCTTAATAAATAAAGTTTTAAGAAACAATTCTTCACAATTCACTTAGTATTGCTTGCTTGAATCTCTCCATTGATGTTTAGGACTGCAACTGGTCAGTCTCTTATTGATATATGTGCATACTGTGCGTATTGCCTCGATATAGCCTTAATTCACAAGCATTGTAAGTAAAGATGGATAGTGGCTAGCAGTGGAATCCAGGACAAGCGTTTCGTCCCAGAGTTGATGTTCACCCTGGGGCTGGAACCCAGTACCTTTCGCTTCAAACGCCATCACGTTATCCACTCAGCTACTGAGTTCTGTTAGCCACTTGCTTATGCAATGGGATGAAGTTTTAAATTCAATTAGTATTGTTTGTTTGTATCTCCTCATTGATGTTTAGGACCGCAACTGGTTAGTCAGAGTGAACATCAACTCTGAGATGCAGGTATATCCAGCTGAGGAGTTCCAAATAGGACGAAACGGGCGTCCTGGATTTCACTGCTAGCCATTATCCGTCTTTGCTTTCAAATTCTTCACAATGTTTATATCAACAAATGAATTTATCTGTTTTTATGATTAATATAACAGAAATGTATAAAATCACATTTTCAATAAAAAGTAAACTACGATCATTATAGTTATTACATGAAATAAAATTCATATTTTATGTCTTTTATTCTTATTTTGTTAAATATAATTTTTGGACAGTACAGTAATAAGAGAAAAGGGATAATTATTAATTTAAATGTAAACTTTAAGGAAAAACAAACTAAATATTCATAAACACCATAAATACATATTATAGATAATATAGATTATTATTATTATTATTACCACCTTCACGTCCTTAAAAGTTTGTCACACCATTCATATGATTCTTATCAGAACCAGTATATTGAATAGACCATTAATCATAACCGATTGACTATAGATAAACATAGATAAGGAAGGTAATTGACTGAAATACTAACTAGAAAAGCATGTTAACTATCTACATACGTATTGAATTGTTATGATTATTAGGTACATTTATACATATATATAAGTTTACGACAGCTGATAAGATCATTATTTATAATTGAACAAATTTATTCACGAAAAGTTAATTTTTCTAAAACTTAACCACAGGATAAGTCTACACATAACCTTGGATTTAAGAACACAGGATGAATCTGAAAGTAATCTTTATAAAATGTGTTTAACTTGGAAATGAAAGTTTGTACAAGTTTTAAATCTCTAAAGTTAGTTCAATCATAAATTCAGTTTATACTATTCATTGTTAATAATAGCCCTATTACTCGTAGTGTAAATATTCATATCTCTCAGGGAGGCAGCATAACTTTTAAGAGCCATAACACAATGAAGAAAAAATACATTAATGAAAGTATCCTCAGAGTCAGCTATATGTTAATTTGGTTTTAGATTCTAATATACTTTTTTGAAAGTATTATGTTCATTTTTATCATATGATCTACCTCCAAAATAAGGTGGGGCAAGTAAACGCGGCTTGTTCAGAATTTTCAAAAAAATTGACTGGAATCATGTCGTTCAAAAATTCGAACCATTATAATTAACAGGATAGTAGTGTTGGTACGAAGGGAATAAAAATATTGATAGGATTCACCACTGATGGATTCTAGTTGGGGGAACCTTTGCAGATCTGCTTGTAATAGACTTCTGTTTTATCGAGATGTGGGACTTTAGAACAATGCTACTGAAGAACTGACCGAGGACTTGTTCCAAGGGGATTTTCTGGGGTTCGATTTGCAAGTCATGACCTGTGGAGTTCGGACGCGTCTGGGGTGAAAGAGTAGTTACTAACATCACTGAATAATCACTGTGCAACATCATTAATCTACTAAATATGAAAATGTGTATCATTGAATGCCAACCTAGTGGTCTAATGGTTAAACCCCCTCAAAGAGGCCGAGGTTCCTGGGTCCGACTGATGCGAGAGTCGTGGATAAACACAACTTAGCAGTCCCAATACGAGGATGAATCAGCTGATTAACTTTCCCTGGCAATCAACGGTACTCCAGCTGAAGTTGGTCAATCAAGAATACCGCCTACAAACTAAATAAATATCCAGAGGACCATTTCATCGGTAACACTAATGCTTAAAACGTAGGCACGTGTTCGTTTACTAAGAAGAAATGTTTTTATTGAGAACTGACATTGAAACAGATAATGCCCATAAACACCCTACCTTTAATTCATTTGTTTATGTGGGCCTAGAAGATAAGGAAGATAATTTGTCTTTCACTTACTAAAAAAGATAATGATTCCTATACAATATAACAATCGACTATATTAAAAAAGAACGGAGACTAATGGTAATATTATTATAGACTAAAGAAATGTTTACGATTATATTGTATGACCGTAAAGTGAGTCATTATGAATACAACTATGTGAGCGTGAAGGTCATTAGAAAGAAAATAGGAAAACATAAATGATTCGTATACAAGATTGGTAGGGAAGTCCTGTAAATAAGCTTAATAGTAAACATTATTTTTGCTCATGATTAGTAGATGAACAGGAACAAATTCATAAATTCTGAACTTCCAAGGATTTTATGCTCTAGGTTCAGTGGATGATACAATTATGAACCTTTAATAAATTAATTTTCACATTTAATTAGCCATCTTGATCAATAATTTATGAAGCAGTAGTGGGTTAATATGGTCTTTTTACTACTTTGACCTTCTGAAAATGAGGAGCTAACATTGTGTTTACACACAGAAAGGGCCGAAGATAGAAGCCTATCTTTTGCTTTTATCAGTACCGTCCAACATGTCATTAATTGTTCTTTTTTCAGCCACTAGCGCTTTAACATCCATACTTTGATTGAAGGCTACAAGCGAACATAGGAGTTACTTTTTTCAAATAATGGACGGCATCCTGGGGCTAATTTAATAATTGTGATTTTCCGCGTAACTGTTTTTGTGTAACTCTTTTACAAGTGCTCTTGTTATTACACTCCAAAGTATGATGGGTTTAAATATTTCTAATTGGAGATTGTAAATCATGGATGATGCTCCGTTTGAACTCATGACGGGCTAAGTAACAGAATTAGGAAACCTGACTGGTCCTTGATACTTCATGGAAATATTTCACTAAATTCATCTATTTTCTGCAAGAAGATTTCTATACGAACCATAAAATCTGATGACTAATTAAAGCATTTTTACTATTATTTTAGATTATTTGCAGTCCGTACTCTGATTAATATATCTAAAAATATGTACAGTGAATCAAATATCAAGAAAAACAATTTCTGTCTGCAAAATAGGTTACCATCATGAAACTGACATTGTAAAGAGATTGAATATTCCACAATAATTTATTACACAGTGTTTCAATGATCGATGAGGTATTATCGTTATTAAATTAGAAATCTCAACGACCAAAACAGTATTTAGTTAGGGTTCATCTGTTATAAAGAGGAAACGAAGTGGATATAATTAACATATTTAAAGTAATCAATAAATGGTGCAATTTCTCCTAATTGAAAGTACCGGAGGCGAGAAAGTTTGACGCTTTTGAATTTAACTTCATTCACATTACAAATTTTAAACTCAGTTCTTTTTATATTAAGTCACTGACCAATATATCAAGGAGCAAAAGTCAAATCCTTCACTTATAATTATTCATACCGTCAAATAAATTCAAACTCATCCAAGGGACTAGTGAATTTCTATCCAGTTAATCTGTTCTATCGTAAGAGTGATCAGCAGCAGCCCTGAAAGTCTAATACTGAATGACAAAACTTCTGATCTTCAATAAATAGTGAAGTGACAGTTTGACGACCTTTTTTCCACCTGAATGCTCATAGTATTGATGTTTCCAATGTTTGGATTTTATAAGAAACTATTTAGTAACAATACATTTGAATCATTAAAACAATGTAATTGATACTTAAACATGTAAAGTTGTTGAGAACTCTTCAGATAATTAAAATAACTAATTTTATCATTAAATAGGAATAGAGTTTAATGAAGAAAGCTTTTTCTCGACGAAATCATTTGCTTAGGCTGTCCATTCGTATTTTTAGTTGTATATTAAATGTATCAGAAGGGGTTATGTGGAAATTTTTAGTATTTGCATGGTTGAAAGCATGAGTCAATTGAATCTAGATCACCAAGGAAAACCTGGCAGCGCTGGACGACCGTTTCTCCCTATTGTATGAAAACTGATATTCTTTAAATCAGAATATATATTAGTGAATTTTAGATACTAACCATAGCTTTGGGAAAATTCGTACAAATTACTAATTGAAAGATAATGAAATCCATACTAAAGTATTGATTAAGGAATTTATTGTGGAGAACTACCATAGTATATCTTTCCAGTATTTTAATGATAAATGTCAACATTTATAACATATCCAGCTTCACCTTGTATATTTTCTCAGGATGAATTTTACTAAATTACATTTTATACATCTGAACAATTTACTTAAGACATATTAATTTATTATTACTTACTTACTCATTATCTAATGGGTTACTTAATTAATGTTGATTTGTTGGAGGTAGTTGATAAAAAACTCTTAGCCTTGATTTCATTCTAGCATTCGTCAACACGTTGTACCCTTGATCTACATGCTTCCTTTGAGATTCTGACCTACATTATTCAACGTCATTGTCTTAGTTACGGCTGGTGACATCTCAAGTCTTGGTACTTTGTGACATTGTTTGAAATCTTTCACTAACCATAAGAGACTAACATCGAGTGCCATAAAACATGAGACTAATGTTCTCTATTGAATGGCTCCAATTATCGAATATCAAGATATAGTTTACAAGAAATCGAGTCACTTAAACTAGTGATCACATTGCAATTCTCTGGATAAAATTGGATTCGAACTAAGAAATACACAAATTCCACATTGGTTGCTGAGTGTTGGTTACGTACTACTAAACATTTGACATAAATATTGACTATATGACCGATTCGCTTACCCTCGATAGAAAATATGTATCCGTTATGTCCTAAAGAAGAATGAATTAGTGGTAACTGCTAGGAATTATTTATGGATTATCATTTCATTTGATCAATTGTCCATAGCGATATGATTTGCAATTCTTAACTAATTTCTGATTTATTAGCTATTTGGCTGGTCCTCCCGGTCTCCCACATTGTCTGAACATTTCATGTGCTTATCTTAGTCGTTACTCTGGTTATCAGGAGGTGCGCCGGTCCCATGATTTCCAAAGAGCCTCGGCTTTCACTACCTGGCGTCATAATTCTTCTGAATGAAGATTCTTCAACTTGGAGGATAGGGTTTAAATGGCTTAATTTGTTTCTTCTGGTTAGCGTCTTTTTAGCAAGCTTGTTTTCTACGGGATGGGATCAGTGACCCGATGCTGAACCATCCTCCTTTACCCGGGATCGGGAGTGGCAGTAACCTTTGAAGAGCTACAGTCGGAGTTAGTTTTGAATAATACCAGCAAAGAAATACATACCACTCCTAATACATATTAATCTTCCAATTTCATCAAATATACCTGGATAGCAATGAAATTCTTTTTAAATGAGTCAGTAAACACTTGTAAAATGTTCATAAATTAGAAGAATAAAATATGGAAGTTGAATTGGCTTTACTTGTTTCAACATCAGTATTTCTTTTGTAATGAACTGATTCCTTAAACAGACGTCTTGTTGAACATCGTCTTACTAATTCCGGAGCGTACATTTTTGATGAACAGATGAGGTCCACTTGCTAAATCAAAACCATTTGAAAACCCTTCATTTCATGATGTTTTCATCTGTTGTGTAGCAAAATTAAGTCCTTAAATATCACATCTCAACTAAAAGATTTTATCTGAAGTTGAATTATTGAAGGTTAAAAAGTTTATAAGATTAAAGACTGACTAGCAATCTGTTCTCTTTATTTCTTTATAGCGTTTCTTCAGGATTGGGTTTACAAACAAATCAAAAAAGCAAAAGGCAGACTTACTTAGTAATGAAATATCCCCATTTGATGCACTAAGAAATGTTTCAGATAAACACTCACATTTCGTCAAGTATCTTGCTTTAGAAGGTTCAGTCGATCAAAGGTAAGTGTTTAAACTGCTTATACTTCGTTTATGATCCTTGCATGAACACATATTTGGAGAAACTATTATTAGGAACATATCAATACTGGTTTCTTCGTGATGTTACCACAGGTGTTTTTAAAGAGGATACTGACGAGTTCAATACACTAAGAAATAGTAAAATTTCAAGCAGTTTTTAAAAAATTCGATTAATTATTGACTTTTTGACTGTTGTTTGATGCTTGGAAAACATTAGCCAACTGGAAATAAAAGCAATCCAAGCTCCGTTTATAGAAAAATACATAAGCTTTATCATTCTTCACAAACCCTATCTGAAAAAAATGTTAGTTGAGTTGTAATGAATAGTGGATAACATAATCGACTAGTGTGTTAAGATTAGCGGTGCCACAATTGACAATAATGATCCTAATGTTAACAATATACCTGATCGTTTCCTGTGATTTAAGACCTACACAACAAACTTTCAAGCGAATTTAATTTACAATAGTTCAACGAAGCTTTAAAACATAATGTTTTACCAAATTTGTTGCAAATTCATAACTTCATTAGTAATTGGAACTCATAAATGAATGTGAATTATGATCTGCCTTCGTAGTTATAATTCGGATTCAATGAAGATTTCAGATGCTTAAAGATCCTTAAAACAATTTTAATCAAATGTTCATATACCCTTTAATCACAGAATAAATCAGTCAGTCAGCTACAACGTAGAAGCAGGCACGTATATGCATCGGTCCGAGTTGCCATACCTCGTTATCACAACAACATGAACACCGGATTCATAGAAGTAGTTAATTTAGTGGTAGTAGTATATAAAAGATAGGTTGTATATAAAGATATAGTATAGGAAGGAAGAACGTTATGAAGCAATTTTAATCTTAGGGTTTAAGGGAAGACAAAGAGTGTATACACCTACGCCATTGTGATAGATTCTGAGCCATGTCACCTAGAGTCTCCAACGATTGGTTACGATAGTCACGCGGACCCCAACCAAGTAGTCTGCATCTACCAACATGGCTCAGATTAAATACATTGGCACTATACAGAATTTACATAAAAGTTTGTAATTAGGTTATATCTAGGTATGTATTTAAATTAATATGTCATAAATTTCAAATCCAAACAAGAATGAAACACAGCTATGTTGGACGAAATAAAAATCTCTAGAATTTTTTGTTTCACTTTAAACTATAATAGGAATACTGATTAAATAAATCATTATTTCTTTCTCTCACAGCATAATTCTTATGATTCAATAACCGAGTTTTGGATATTATGTGACAAAAACTTGGACATACCGATCCTAGTAACAAAGTTTCAATAATATGAGAATTAATGTCAGAAGGAGTTTTTGGTGGATATTATAGTAATTTTAATAGTTGAGATCATGAGTCAATTGAAGCTAGACCACCATGAAAAAGCTGGAGGCACTCGACGGCCGTTTTGCCCTATTGTGGGACTCCTCAACAGTGCGCATCCACGATCCCACCTCGAGAGATTCGAACCCAGGACCTGTTAGTCTCGTGAGCGAGCGCTTAAGCACTAGACCACTGAGCCGGCATCCGACGGTGTTAATGTCTAACTTCGACCAGGTTTTTCATGGTGGTCTAGCTTTAAGTGACTCATGATCTCAACTATTAAAATATGAGAATTAATCATTTTATTTTTAATAAATACTAGCACAATTTAGATAGCTACTTGATTGATTATTTAATGATGTGTTCATGAGCATAACTCATTAACAGTCACTCTCTATGTCACTATGAGAACTGAAGTCTTTAATTGATACTAGCCAATTATTTTAAAGCCCACAGGACACTGAAAGAGTAATCTTAAAACTACCAATCTTACATCAGTTACGAACAACTTATTTATGGCACTTTAGTCGACATGTTAACAAGGGCATTTCTATGAAAATTTGACAGAAAAATAGTAAGATAACAAGTATTGTGTTCATCAAATTTATACTACTCAGTTCATCTTGACTTTTTATTTTGTTGATATATTTGTGAAGCTTAACCTACCTTCCATCAACGGTCAAAATGAGTTTGCAATGGCCTGAACAAGAAAAATCAGATATATTTGATTCCAATGAAACGAAAAATTCAACAGTGTGTTCGAAGGAATGCGACAATCCTGAAGAAAGTAGCTACAAGAATGACATATCTACTAATGTGATGGTTCGACCACCTAAATGTGGGCAGAGAAGTTCTAGTGTTACACCATCAGATAGGTTTTCAGAAACATCCAGTGACAGAAACATAGAGTCTTCTTCAACATGCGAAAAAGTATATCCATCAACTCCTGTTGCCTCAAAATCTACCGTACTTCTCCGTCGCCCAAGAACTCCCACGTTAGGAAGAGCTGCTTTATTTGTTCGTGCATCATATATGGGTGTGGATAAGTCAGGAACATCAACTAGTTTATCATTTTCCAAACAAAATACAAAACGAGATACTGTGTTATCAAATGATTCTCATTTCAGTGACTTTCCGAATTTATCCAGTGTACAATCAGGTTTTATTAGTCGTAGTTCAAGTTTAAACTCTGAACTCAGGGAATTCAATCAAAATACACAGCAAAGGTAAAATTCAAATATTTATTTAATTGTTGAAATCATTACTGACAGGAGGCAATAAGGTTATGTATTCTTGAAGCATTTCAAAGTATTCCTAATGTATTTGTGTTTAGACTTTCATTCCAACTGAATCTGGTAGTTGTGTTTTTAATTTTTTTCGTTTAGCAGCTCCTCTTCTAGGTTTCCTTGGTGTACACGTCCACTGGTCTACACTACGATTCCCGTTAATAAGAAACGTAGGATCGATATATTTCAATTGATTATTATATGTGCTTAGACATCATTTGAAAATCCTCATTTGAAATTATACGGATTCATTATTAAAATGGCTAGTACAAATTGATTGTAAAATATCTTAAAGTAATCAATAACTGCTGAGATCAATTAATTTCATGGAACCTTTCACGGTTTCTCAACGTAAAACTGCTAACATTCTTATCAAAAAGGTTCTTACCATTTTGCGTATATGGATTAAATGTTTGAGAGTATCCACTCGTCTTCACTTTATGTCAAATTCTTGAAGTAGTATTTGTTAAAATCAAGGCTTAAATTGTTCCATTATACTATTCTCAATTCTTATATCATGTGGTATCTAACGTATGTTTCGAAAAAAATTATGATAAAACTAAATCGTTGTTGTATAAGTTTATCAATCAAAACTTATTGGATTATACATTCGATATTGATACAGAGAATCATGTCAAAAGGAAGTATTATTAAAGCCAAACTTGAAATATAAGATGTACTGTATATGGAACGAAATCTAACTGATCTTATTGAGTGATCCCATTGATAATTGTTAGAATTGTATAAAAATACTTGATCGTGATTTTGCTCAGTATGACTTTTGTTCAATATTATTTTGATTTTTAAATGAGTATTATAATTAATCAATATAATATTCGCTTTATTTCAATGTAATTCTGAAGTGCTAACAATAACCAAGTTCTTTTTTCAATTCACTTGTTGGCTGTTGTTCTGTACTGTCATGTTAATAACAGAAATGGTGTTATTGATAGTACACTGACTGATAACGTAGATTCCTTACACTCAATTAAAAATTTAGATGTATTGGTGAACTGATATCTTAGAACTGTTTTATAAATTAAACCTAAGAATTCTTTGATTAGAAGACTAGTTTTAGTATATATGGTTCACTTATTCCAAAAAATCAACCAAACTAGTCATTAGCCTAGATCCAGTAGCAGCTCACAATTACATTGGCTTGAATAAGGCATTCAGGTTTACCTAATTATCTTTATTTTCTGAAAAAAAATCTGCATGTAACTGCATCTCAGAGTTGATGTTCACTTTGGGACTCGAACCAAGTACTACTGCTAGCCACCATCCATCTTCGCTTTTTTACTGAATTGTTTTATGGTTATGAGCTGATAAATTTACTGAGAACATTTCTCGCACATTAGAGCTATTTATTTTATTTAAATTTACTTAAGAGATTACTGGAACATATTCGAGTTCACTGAGTAAGATTATTTTATGACTCAAATCGTATATTTTCTATTTAAGACCACTATGAAGAAAGAACTCGGGGTCTTCCCGTTAATAAATTTTCTTCATTTCCAATGAGATTTTAATCGGTGTTTATCAGTAAACTCGTTTGAAGTGTAACGCTTAGTTAAAGTGATGTTTAATTAATTCTTTGATTTCAAGTTTATGATACAAAAAAAAACAATAAGCAACTGCAACCAGTCACTTAACGGTTTTAACTAGTTATACTTTCGGTGACATACAAGAACATATGAAAATTTTTTGGTTTTAAGCTAATCTGAAAACGGATTACCAGTGATACTCACTTCTTAAAGGACTTCAGGATTCAAAGAACTTCAAGCTGTTTGAGATACGAACTAGTAAAAAATTAAATTAAAGTTGTACATCAAAGTATGTTTATGCTGATGAACGTTAGTTTAGTACCCTCAGTTATAAATATTTTTGAGATTTTTGACTTGTAGTGGATCTTATAATTGAAAACATCAACAAACTGTATTCTGTCGAAAAATTTAAGAATAATATGTAACAGATTTTCATATATACTATAGAACATTCTTTTTTCATCAGACCAAAATCTATTTGACATTGAATAATATTGCTAGTCTGCTTATAATATCAGTAGACTAAATTTATATTATATTTATATTTATTTTATTTAACATACAGTTTTCATCGATCATCTGTTAAAAACAACTCATCACAAACTAATTTACAACCATTCAATTTGAATGGACGTCAATATGAAACAAAAATTCCAAAAGCTACATCGACTAGGCATAATTGTCATGCTTATGATACTGTTCCGTTGGATAAACTTGAATGTCTGAAATTAATTCCTTCAGTACAAATGTTGAGTAAAAGTTCTGAAGTAAATTCAGAATTATCAAATTTAACATTAATCAAATCATCTGATTATGTACCAACTACAATTTCTTTTTTATATGGAGACCAAAAACAAGAACTACATACTAGTGAATATAACACTGAAAAAAATCAAACTCAAGTGATAGAAAATAATATTTTGAAAGATACAAGAAATTCTGTTGATATGTTGGTTACATCATCTTCAGAAACTGAAGTATCAGTTCTGAATCACAAACACACAAAAAAATGTGAATCTAACCGTACTTCGGAAATATCTAATCTCCAGCTTAATCTACAATCCTTTTCAAAAAATCGTAACATTAGTTCAAATTCTCGTAAATCACTTGAAATCCCGAAAGCTTCAGTGAAACCTATAAGACAGAGACCTATCAAGGTAAGTTAACGAAGATTAAATTATCACTTTATTATTTATGTAAGTACAACATTTCAGAAAAATAGAAATTGGAATAATAATTTTGAAAATATAGGTAAAAACCGAAATAGGTCCCTGTTTATATTATTAGTTGGCAAGGTTTCAGTTGTGAATAGATAAAAGATCCTGAGTTTTTAATTAATAGACAAAAATATTTAATCAGCGGTTTACGTTATGGCTTCAACGGAAATCATAAGATTTGAAAGTCATGGCAGCGATATAGTCTATGAGCGTCACTATGAAAACTTGAATAAATTAATAGATTATGACAGTGAATAATTGTAGGATCAAAGACTTCAAGTAGCTTCAAACTGACTGAGGTTTTATAAGTAATCCGACAACAACAAATGATGCTTAAAATCTCAGTTAAATTGTAGATAATCTATGTAATGAAGTGATCATTACATAAGATTTTTCTAAGTGTTAGCTCTACCATTCCAATAGATGAAAATACCTCGTCTTAGGTTTGAAAGCAGCAACTTCTATGAAAGTACTATACATAGAATTCAGAAAATGTAATTCATATTACTGACATGTAAACTACAGAAATTTAGAATGTTCTCACCTCAGCTGAATATAAAATTATTGTATCTATCCGAAACGAAACGAAGGTTAAAAAAATTTAAAAAACATACAAGTAATACGAGTTTTGTAACCAGTGATATATAAAAGTTGGTTTCATTTTTATCTGTCAAATGTAAACTAGCGCCTAAAAAGTGGTCCACATCTATAGCTAGTTATCTCTACTTGTAATGCATAAACAAAAAAAAGCATTTTTGATATCAAGACAAATATCAATGGCTGTAGAAAAATATGTTTACATAAGACTATCATAGTATTTAAACACAAGTAGACTTAACTAACATTTTATCTACAGTGCAGTTAATTTTCTTCTATTCATGACGATTATCTACCATAACAATATTCTCACTGAATATCCAAGTTTCATGAGATTATGTTAAAGTGTGTATTTAAGTATACTATTCGTCAAAAACTACGGAAGTATCGATAATAATTTTACTTTCAAATAAAATTACTATTTGAAATATCAAAACATGAAAGGAAATAAATTTGTTTGAAACTAAATTATGATCAGAATTGGGTTTGTGGAGATTGTAGTAATTCCACTAGTTAAAGTCATGAGTCGATGTAAGCTAGAGCACCGTTGAAAACCTGGAAGCACTGAACGGCCTTTTCGTCCTACTACGGAACTCCTTGATAGTGCGCGTCCATGATCCCTCATGTGGGACTCGAACCCAGGACTTTCAACCTCGCGCGCGAACGCTTAACTTGTAGACCACTGAGCAGGCCGGCATCCAATGGTGTTCATGTCTAACTTCCACCGATCCATGAATAGCTGCGTAACCATTCATCCATTGTCTGAGGTAGATACCTGTCTCTGAAACTAAATTGTCGTACTAATTCTTCCAAGTTAATCAATGCCATGTAATCACGTGTTCAAATAATTAAACGCTTTAAGAATTATTTGATCGATTATTTTCACTAATGAATACTTGCATAAATATAATTTCCCTCGGTTATTTACCTGTCATCCGATGACAGAAATGTACAGTCAGTTCATTTTGAGTTATTATTAAATCGATTGACTAAATTGCATGATATTTTTTTGAGAAACAGTGTTTAGTTATATATATGATTCAAGTTAGCTTGATCAGCTTTCACTTCAAGAAGTCAAATACTATAATCAAATATATTCATTCATTAAGTCACTAAAATTTATTCAAGTATCATGTTTCTGTATTTCCAGACTATCATTGGAACAGAATTACCAACTTCACCAAGATCTCGTAGTTCACAAAAATCAAATCATCCATTTTATTCAAAACCAAATAAAAATTTAACGAAAAAATTCTGTGAATCAATTAGCAACGTTGAAACCAATATCGAAATACCGTTTCCTAACAATAACTCAGTATATAACGAACAGTTTCAAAATGAAAAATCGATCAATCATTCAGTTAACATTGGATCATTTGTGTAAGTTTCAAATAATCATGTTACTTTATAATATAAATATATAACTATAGTAATCTGATAATGTTTAAATAGATGTTAAAAATGTGGGAATTGTATTTACTTTTTGAGTGACCTAACACCTTTCACATTCTATGCTTGCTTACTATCCATCACTTGAAAAAACACCTTACAAAGATTTCAAAATCTATAAAATGAATATTAGATAGTAACAATTTTAAGGATTTCTGTTTTCGTTTATGGTATAATTGATTCATTTATTTCCTTATAAGGTGATTAGTACTTGCTAATTACAATGGACTTTTGTTATTCAAATTCTATGTAGATATTTTTTCAAGTTTTGATGAATAATGTTTCTGAAATAGCTCATATAATGTTAAGGAATCAGTGACACTATATGTTCGATGATAGAACGATACATATTTTATTGCAGAGTAAAGTTTGGATGTAGGTTTGTCGTTCAGAAGGACGATGAAAGCTCCACGACCAAACCATCCAGCTCAGAGAACAAACCTACATCAAAATCACCCACCTGAGCTACAAATCTTCTCCACCATTTCAAAATCATACGAGAGTAAAGTTTGAAATTTTCCTTATAGTTAGTTTGAAAGCATTAAAGATATTTATGAACATCGAAGCATTTCTACGATTGCTGAATGCAGTTAATAGTTACTATCAATCGGATGTAATAATACAAAATTAAATAAATAAACCACGTGTAGAATATTAAAACGACATTATGATGTAACATGGAACAGATAATAAATTTGTCCTTATGTGACGTAACAGATTACAAAAAATATTTTTGAATTTTAGACATATCAACAAACATACGGTTGGTGACTCATGACCAACAGACTGAAAATAAAAAAGCATATTCACTTAAGTAGAAAATAATTTAATTGCTTCCGAAAATCTGTCAAAATGTTGTATAATGAAATTGATCAGTTTTTCGTTCTATACTTTATTGAAATTTGAAATCACAATTATATCCAGCAAGTTGATTTTAGAAACTTTCTGACGACTGTTAAAATTGCTTAGAGTTAAATTATATGCATTAGGATATCAAATTACAGATCATGTCGGCAACAAATTAAACCTGATTACTATAAGTATATCCATACAGTAGACTAGACTATATGATATGGATCATTTTTTAGTAAACAATTACTTTTTCTGATAAAATAACTGTGACTTGATATTTTCCATATCACTGATGGTAATTCATCTTCTAAAAGCAATAATTTACAATGAAATTAATGCAATCATCCAGCTCTTACTTGAAAAATTTCCATTTAACGGCTTCCGGATAGATTCACTGTTGAAAAAGAATGTGGTTCATAATTGTGCCGTGGTCAACAGTTAAAGTTCAAAATTTTTGCTTCAGTCATAACAACATTCTAACTGGAATTCTTCATAATTATTAGTGTTTTTTATGCACTATAAAAATAGTCTAGTTTGTCAAATTATTCTGACAGTTAATTAATATTCACTGAGGACAAAAACAATTTTTAATATGGTTACAGAAGTGACTCATTATTTTTAATGATTTGTCTAGTTTTCTGTAAAAGAATTAAATTTTAATATTTGTAACGTGTATTTATGTACACTCTAATAATCTCTATGTCAACAAGTACTATTCAAAGTATTTAGGTTTAAATTAACCAGAATAGAAAAAAACGTAAATTTCGGGGATTTTAAAAGGGGGAACTTCAATGTCTGTGAAGTACTTTATTCCCTTGATATCGTTGATTTGCAGAGAAACAAAGTTAAAATTTAGAGATGGAAGGAGAGTCCAGGACGTACTTTTCGTCCTATATAGGATTCGTCATCTGCATATACCTGCACCCCAGAGTTGATGTCCACTTCGGTACTCAGTCCCAGTGCCATTCGATTCAGACGTGAGTCTCAGAGTATTCATTAACTCTCGTGTGAAGGTATATCTATCTGGCGAGTCCCAAGTAGGACGAAACGCGCTCCATGGATTCCACTGCTAGCCCTTATCCGTTTCTGCTCACAATGCTTGTGACTCAAGGCAATATCAAGGTAATCTGCACAGGACGTACATTTGCTAATAAGAGGCTGATCAATTGCATTCCAAAACATAAACGTGAAAATTCATACGACCAATAGAAAAATGAATTAAAAGTGACTTACGATAAAAATTTCAAATTTTTTCCCTATTTATTGTTGTGTTCGGTTTTAATTATATGTATGACAGAGAACATGGATGATTGGGTCTAAGATTAAAGACTGTTGTATTATGGCGTAGGAATTGGGTTATTTTGTCGGATCAACAGTAAAGCACCATCAACTTTATATAACGACTTACACAATTTGTTCAATATTCATCTGTCTTTTTGTATGAAGCAGTATAAAGCTTTTCGATAACATATATGCCTACTATTTATTAAATAAGTAGTTCGAATTATAAAAATAATGTTTTCACACAACCTGAGTAGAGTAATGAGAATATGGTTAACTGATGGGTTTATACCGTGTCTAGATCATTTTCACTTCATGATTCAGAGACCTACACTCAGAAATCATGTGAAGCTAACAAGATCACTGTTAAATAGTGAAAACTGTCTGGTACTTTGAGAGTACCTACAGTTTTTCAGATGTTATGTAGCAATGAACGATATTCCAAATGATTATCTTCACCAAGAAAACTAGAACCAAAATATTTTAACTAATTGAGACATTCATTATGAAAAGTAAATAGTCATGGTTTAACAAGTGTAGTATTGTCACTAGTAGCTGTTGAAAATAAGATATTTCATAAATCTGTCAAAATGTTCATACCTTATTTACAATTTTATATAGCTGAAATCATGAGTCAATTGAATCTAGACCACCATGGAAAACCTGGAAGCACTGGACGGCCGTTTCGTCTTATTGCCACTGGAGAGTCCCACAATGGGACGAAACGGCCTTCCAGTGCTTCCTGGTTTCCCATGGTAGTCTAGCTTCAATTGACTCATGATTTCAACTATATAAAATTACTAAAATCTCCACAAAACCCCCTTCTGATTATCTACAATTACGTATTCGCTCGGAGATATTACTGCATTGAAATAGTGATAATCGCATTAGGAAATCATGATATTGTTATTCATTTGCTTTTTAATACATTTGTGTTTTATATTGTTTTGACTAAGTTTATAGATAAAAATGTTATTCATTTTAGAGTTTGAAAGCTATTGATTATTTTACATTTACGAACAAAATAAAAAAATAATTCTTGTCAAATAGTCAAAGATTATGAATTACATCAGTTTTCATTAGCAAATATATGCGATGAACTAAGTAGAATAGCATAATAAAGTTGACACTTCGAATAACTTTTATCAGGTTTTAATTCATAGGCTCATATAAGGCCTATACATAACAATCGACAATCAATAGTCATCAACTTTAGTCCCAAAATTAGTTAATCAAAAAATTAACAGAATAACATGAATTTAGTTATTTCGTTAATTCTCATCAGTTGTTTAGTACATGCAAACAATGTTAATTACTCAATAAATAGGAATAATATATTTGTAAAATCTCAGCGAATGAATTTGAAGTAATCTTCCTTGAAAAAGCTTGAACCAGATTGCCAGGCGAAACGTTGGATTTACTTCAAATTTATTCTCTGAGATTTTACAAATATATTATTCCTATTTAATGTCTTACATCAACTCGGCGTCCATATACTGTGAAACTATTCGCTCTAATTTAAACGAAAATTCTTATAAATGTTAATAATTATTTGAAATCAAAATGATATGCACATTTCAAATTAGATTATCGGAAAAATTTTCATTCATAAAGAAAACTAAAAATGACCCAGAAGTATTGAGTAATTAAAAGAGATGTATGTGTGTGTCCGAAAAATTCTGTACGTTAGATAATGTGAATATTCTGGAAAAAAAACAGGTTACTGAAAAAATTTCCATGTCATTTGTGTAATAAATCACCACTTTACATCACAAGTTGAAAGCGCTATTTCACAAGCGTTATAGCAGTTGGTAACTGTAAATACATTTAAAAAGGGCCTAAAATTCTGTTATCCTACCTTAAGATGCTCACTGGAAACTCAGTAAGAATATTTTTCCATACATATTATTTAAGCTATATTTTATTGCATGATAAAAATTAAATCGAGTTGCTTATTATATCTTCATCAGTCTGATCAAAATAAACATTTTTTGATGAGATCTAAAAAATTGGCATCAACAACCTTGACCTTCAAAATAAACAAAATTATTAATAAATTAATACAAGTTAGCCTAACCTAAATTAATAGGCTGGAAACTTGATCGTGTAAATAACTCTCCTAATTCACCAGTCTAAATGACCGCTATCTTATGATGACAGAGAACGTGATCATACTGACTGTAAATCAATTCGAGAAAAACAAAGAATTCATTATCCAATGAAAAGTTAGGCTAGAAAGTTAGAAAATCATATTTTTTAAGTGAATCTCTACTCTTGTTTTAGGTTAGTTATCAAAAACTTATTTTAAAAACTAATCCGGAAATCACTGTTACATTGTTTTTTTTCATAGCATTATAATTAAATAGCTCTTTATACAAAGTTTTACTTCATCAATATAACCTATCCTGCTCTCTAAAACTACGTTTGAATTATTCAAGTAGTTAGCAATACTTGTGACAAATTGTTTTGTCACTATCACTTCATATTGCTGTTTTTTGGAAGATGGACTATTTAAATGAAATAATTTTTTTGCCATCGAATCAACGGATGTTAATTATCAATTAAATGAAAATATCATATCACTTGTAGGAAATTGATTGATGATGGACAAATAACGAATTAGTTATGATGATTGTACTAGGAATGAACAAGTCGTAATATAAAATAAAGAAAAACACTTGAATAATATCAGAAGGGGTTTTGTGGATAATTTAGTAATTTTAATAATTGAGATCATGAACCAATCGAAGCTAGACCACCATGGAAAACCTGGAAGCACTGGACGGCTGGCTCAGTGGTCTATAGGTTAGGAGCTCGAGCGCGAAACTGATAGGTCCTGGGTTCGAATCTCGCGAGGCGGGATCGTGGATCTGCACTGCTGAGGAGTCCTACAGTGGGACGAAACGGCCTTCCAGTGCTTCCAGGTTTTCCATGGTGTTCTAGCTTCAATTGATTCATGACCTCAACTATTAAAATAAAAACTTGATTTGATTTTCGATTTCCCATAAGCATGAAAAGATAATAGATTTTATTTAATACATAATATGTAAACGACAATTAAATAATAAACTTCAATCCTTGGTAAATTATAAGGATAGAAGTATAATTTGCAAAGTTGTGTTACATAGTACGTATGTTTAGTGTACACTAAAGTAAATAATTTCTATGTTTATTTTCATAGGTTTTTAATAGTTGAATTCATGAGTCGATGTAAGCTAGACCACCATTGATAGCCCTGAAATTAAATATTAACATCGTTGGATGCCAACTCAGTGGTCTACAGGTTAAGTATTCACGCATGAGAGCGAAGGTCCTGGGTTTAAGTCTCAAATGTGGGATCATGGATGCGCACTGCTGAAGAAGAAATGACCATCCACTGCTTCCACGTTTCCAGTGGTGGTCTAGCTTAGATCAACTCATGCATTCATCTATTTATTTACTGCAATCTTCACAAACCCTCATTCTAATAGTTTCATAAGTATCAATCATTTGTACTTTCTTAATGAAATATCACATTTAAAAAACGAGTACATCTGAAATAGGTTTTATTATTAGTTTTTCTATCATTTAATGTAAAAAAATACATATATGAGTGCATGTTGAAACATGGAATGTGCCATCTGATGAAGAAAATTTTATTTATGTCACAATCAACTCTTGATGAGTCATATTTACGTGTCATTATCAGTAGTTGTCTGATATTAAATTTCCTATAACTTGTCGATGAACTGCCACGCCTTAATTCATTATTTAAGACAAAACAATTTAAAATGTAATCATTTTGATTAGAAAATTGCATGACTGAAAAGTACTTTTCAATGAAATACATTTCATGATTATTTTCATGAGAAGTATAAAATTTGCCTATCTAATATAATCGGTGACAAGAAAGTGATAAGTGGTACATGAGCTATTATTGATAGAATCCACACAGAGTTACTCTACTCATGTGTCACCATCCAACTAAGAAATAAATTTAGTAGTTCCCTTAAGTGGTTTTACCAACAGTTTACATAATTTTCACGATGAAGCGATATCGGCTGGATCATTTTATTTCAAATCAGTTGCTCAGTATTCTGTGGTTGTAGTCAAGCACTGACATTGTTTCTTACTAAACGTCATGATGGACTCAACTCATCAATCAGTTTTGTAGTAGTTCACTGAAGTGGTTTGCTTGTAACCAATTCAAAAATATCATCTCAGTTTACTAAAATCAATAGTAGCTGTTGGTCGACGTTTTTGATGATGATTTTGTAACTCTGAAGTCGTTTCCGAGTTGATGTTTAACTATATTGCTAATTATCGATGACTGAAAAGATTTTCCTCGTAGATGTTACATTTAGAAAAGCCTAATGAGAAGATGTGATGAAGTGGATTCACAAGATGGTAGATAGGCCTCAAATATTTCAAAACAAAGCACTAGTTAACTTCGAAAGTATTCGTAAACACACATGCGACTGAGGTACCTAACATGCTGACGGTTTCAACAAAGATTTTAACAAGTCTTTGATGTATTGATGAAGTCACGCTACTGCGTCGAAGGATAAACATGTAGTTTATTTAATGTCGGAAACGTCTAAATCTCACGTAGCTCATTAGTTAGTGACTTTTGCAGAATTTGGTTAGAATAGCATTTATATATTATTTGATAAGTAAAAAATGTTGTATAAGAAAGTAAACGTACTTCGAGTGAAGTAATATAATCGTGTTGTTTGCAGCAAATGTCGACAGATATAAGTAATATGTATCATCAATGGAGAGTGGAATGCCTGGCGGTATAAGATTACGAAAATCAAAGAGGAGAGAACAAGAACAGAGAGTGATTGGTGAGGAAATGAGGAAACAATAAATTCTGAGACTATTGATTAACATTTTTGCAAATGAAGTATTTACTGTATGTTTCTCAGATTTTACTAAGATTTGCTCCACTTATGTTCCCGTTCGCTATATAATCAGTTTAGTTGAATAATATAGACTAACAAGTGAATAAGTAGATCTTTGAAAGATATTCACTATCTATAGATTTACCTTTAACAAGAAACATAAAAATTGTTCAATCTATCTGAAAAACAAGTATCTTTACCACTCATACATAACAGGAAGACAATGAATTATATTGGAACATAGCGAATGAAATTATCATCATTAGGTGTACGAAAAAGTGTGGTAGATTTTTTAAGCCACTTTAAATTTGATCTGATACCAGTAAAATCAATAACTTTTTCTCAAACAAATGTCCTATGCATTAAAATCTAGGGTTAAGAACCATTGTTTCACTGTAAGAAAATATTATTCAATCAGTACTTAAAAAGAATTCATTGATAGCCTTTAGTTATAATCCAGTTTAATGTAGATAACTAATTATTTATTTCTAACTAATTATACACTTAATTTTATCGTCAATTACTTTAAGTCTAAATATGGTTCATGAGTTTTAGCATTAAAATTAAGGTTTTCTACTTGTCCATCTTTAATTTCAACAACAAGTACTAATCAATTGGGTAATCTTATTCACTTTTATCAGAGGGGGCTTTTTGGAGATTTATAGTAATTTTATAGTTGAAATCATGAGTCAATTGAAGCTAGACCACCATGGAAAGCCTGAAAGCACTGGACGGCCGTTTCGTCCTATTGTGTGACCCCTCGGCAGTGCTCATCCACGATTCCGCCTAGCGAGATTCAAACCTAGGACCTGCCAGTCTCACGTGCGAGCGACTAACCTCTAGAACCGCTGAGCTGGCATCCAGAGGTGTTAATGTCTAACTTCGACCAATCCATGAAATTGCGCGACCGTCCACCATTGTCTTTAGTTAGCTACTGTCTTACAACAGACCTGGTTGAACTCCACTGCTTCTCACTAGAACTCCTGGAAATATCTCTTCAGGCGGGATCGTGGATATACACTGCTGAGGACTCCTACAGTAATAGAAAACGGCCGTCCAGTTCTTCCATGCCTTCCATTGGGGGTCTAGCTTCAAATGACTCATGATTTCATGAATTCAGTTCTATACTTTTGATAAAACAGCAAGATAGTAAATCATTTAATAATGATAATGATTTCAACGTAGGATAAAGGAAGAGAGCTTTTGAAATCACAAGGCTGGTAAAACCTTAAGCGTTGTTTCAAGTGATAAGGTTTATATCAAGGAATTTTTAATTATTCTGTCATCAGACTGTTAATTTCAATGATCCGATCACACATAATATTTGAGTAAAACATGAATTATTTTTTTTACCATTATAATGATTAAAGAGTAAGATCTAAATGATTCATAAAAAGGATTAAGGTTGTGTAACCCATTTAGGGAAATAAATTCTGGTAATGATTTATCAATATTTCGAAAACTTTAGACATGAGATTAGCTTGGATCCTTAATTTTTATTGCATAGATTAATTTCATTTTACTAAACCCAATCGAAAAATTTTAAAACACTTTAGTATAACAGCAATGAATATATTAATTCTATAGAGACAATGCTGATTAGTAAAGTGTGTTCATAAAGCCTTTTCTCTGTCTGATTTATCAATTCATGAGACATTTTCTGTAATTGCATTAAAAATTTTACCTAGACAACCAAACATGTGAAATTCAATGTAAAATTTGGTGACGAACCAAAAATTCCAACCAATGTCTACACAGTAAAGATCCATAATATTCTTAAATGATATATTCTTCTTTGCTGAATCATAAATCATCAAGTTCGTGCAGACTAAACAATTTAAATCAAATTTATTCTTCATATCTACTGATACCTACGAAATGGTATTTACATAGTGATCTGTGAAAAATAAAATAAATGTGATCAATAAGTTATACTATGTATGAATAGTTCCTATTATTTGAAGTCAAATGCTGACTGTTGTAATATTCCGGCTTGATAAAATCTTGATGACGTTTTGTCGTAAAATATTCGATTCTAGCCATTTTAAAAAATACCCAGTAACTTGCAATAAATTCTGAGGAAGTCATATTCGAAACTAACATCAATTTTTGCATAAACTGGTCTGATTAACGTTTTTTACTAAGTATGAAAGAATGTACCATTCATTCATCATTAAGTGGTGTTTTTTTTCCTTTTTTTACATAGTAAACTATTAAAATGCCAATAGCACTTAAAAAAAAATTTGAATGAAATCTGTCTGAAAAAGTGATTTTGAATCTACAATCCAAATGGCATATATGAGGAACCTTATTTTCCTTTGTAAGAATGTTGTTAGTTGGGTTTGTATGGATCATAATGACAAACGACTAAGATTACTTTATTGGCTCGCTGATTGGTTAATTTAATTCACCAATCAAATCCGAATTATTATCATTACGTTCAGTCGGTACTTTATTAAAACATATGAACGTGGATGAAAACAAAATAGTTTTATCTTTAGAAACTAGTTAGCTGATTGCGATGTAATTTAGAGACTAGCTGTAGATTTAGTGCAATTATTTTTATATGCGCAACTGTGATCCTGACGTATTTGCAGAGTAAACCAATACAGGAAAATATGATTCATCAAGCAAATTAATCCAAGAATCATTTATAAACCTACGCATTAATTAACGGATATTAGTATAAATAATGTTACGATCAAGAAAGTCTGCACCTGTCCAGTCTACCAATACCAAAGATGAACTAGCAACTGGTGGTTTGTCATCTGTGGATATTGGCTGGGTGGGACCTATAACGTAAGTTATATTTGTTCTAAGTTTGTAGTATTTACATAATAATCTGTTTTACGAAGTTCTGTGGTTCACGCTATATTTTAGTGGACTCCTGGCAGTTGACTTATGTCAGTGAAGTAAATAGTCTCAAATATCGTAATGCATCACACTGAATTCACTCTCATTTTAATTCATGTAGAGATTATGTACACAACTAAATTACTCGCATTGTTTAAGTAATCTAATATCCGATCTAAGTAGTTTTGTAATTATGAGAGCTGCAGTTGGTTTTGATACTAGCAGAGAATAAATTCGAAGCTAGCGAGCATTGGAGACCCATTTCATCCTATTGTGGAAACCCTCCTTATTTACGACCTCATGTGGGGATAGAACCCAGTAACTTCATGTATTTCAGAGAACCTATCACCTTATGGGTATTGAGTTGGAATTGTCCATATACATCATGACATAGTAAATCATGGATATGTGTTGCTAAAGATTAGTAGGACTGAACAACTGTTCAGGCCTCTCTGATTATTCTACATAAACCTTAAAACTAATCATATGAGCTGCATAGAAGTCAGCAGAATGAAAGAGAAAAACAATGAGGATAGATTACTACGATAAAAATCAATAATTTAAATTTATCATGTCGGTGATGCTGTGTAAACGTGACTCATTGAATATAAATAAACATTTGACAATACATTAATCATTTATTTTGTTAATAAAACATTTGTGAAATTCATTCTATTTAATTAGATATTCAACTTAGATAGAAAAAGACAATTTTGATGACAGACTAAACAGGGAATTACATGCATACAAAAATAGAACACTTTTCTGTTTCTCTTTACACAAATATATATACAGATGTATAATGTATATAGGAGAATTCATTTGATATGACCTAGATTGAACAATTGTTTGAATATCTCTCATAGTTGACATATATAACAAACTATCATCTCACTAAAGCATAGAAAATAAACAACATATCTATATATATACACACATATATATATTACATTAGTTTACATGAACAAATTATTGATGATATTCTTCATTGTAAAATCAATATTGTTATTGATATAAAGTCACATATGTTTAATAATCAATAATTTTATTTGTTTATCATTTTTTTTAAGAAAATTACTTTCCTCATTAGTCAGCTGAAATATATTTTACAAATAAAAATACTGAAAATGTTTTGTTTATATAGTTAAGAACATGAGTCAATTGAAGCTAGACCACCATGGAAAAGCTGGAAGCACTGGACAGCCATTTTCTCCTATTGTAGGAATCCTCAGCAGTGTGGAGTTCAATCAGGTCTGTTGTGAGATATCAACTCACTGAAGACAATGATGGATTTGTCGCTCAATTGCGTGGATCGGTTGAAGTTGGACATTAACACCATCGGATGCCAGCTCAGGGGTTCTAGAATTCAAGCGCTCGCGCGCGAGACTGATAGGTCCTGGGTTCGAATCTCGCGAGGTGGGATCGTGGATGCGCTGTGTTGAGGAGTCTCACAATAGGACGAAACGGCCGTCCAGTGCTTTCAGGTTTTTGATGTTGATCTAGCTTCAATTGACTCATTATCTCAACGATAGAAAATTACTAAAATCTCCACAAAATCTCTTTCTGATAAATTCATTTTTGTCAAAAAATCATAAACATAATATTTGTATTGATAATTAATTTATAAAATGAATATAGAAGATTGTATATAAAGAATATTCATTAATCACTTGATTGTTATACATAAATTATCATGATAATTAATGTCAAATGGTCTTTTATTTTCAAATTACTAAGGACATTTTTTCAGAAGTGGCTTATTTGTTAAACTTTCTTCCAACGAATTCAGTAGATAATGTGAAATTGTATTGATTAAGAACTCAAGTGGAGACAATCAAATGTATGAAGGCACAAAATTACAGAATATCTCAGTAAAATATGAGAACTATAGAGTAAATACTTAATTTGCAAACTATGAATCAATTGTTTCAATCTTGACAGTTCCCTTCAACAAATATCAGTCCATCGTCTCCGATTATTATTGTTCATGCATTTTCGTACCGACTGCGATTCATTCCCGTTCTTTCCTTATCGATCTTCTACTGAAATACATTCAATTTCCGACCATCATTATATACTACTTATGTGGATATAAGTAACTCACACCACAAAATGAATTCACTTAATTTTCATCTTTCGAATAATCACCAATTTATGGATAAGATGCCTTATAAATTAATTTTTAAAAGAATACTTATAAAGTAGTTCGACTTTCTTGTAAAATTAAAACTTATTTTCTTTTTAGGATCATTTGAAATTAATTTTTACAGAAACAATAGCCCAAAGAGTTAATCACGTTGATAAATTAAAAGAATTCTATGATGATGCAATTATAATAATAGTCATTGTATAACACATAAGCCTCTCACAAATTATCGATTTAATTAAGAACAAAACAAAGTCTATAAGGTAATATTTTACATGTGAACTGAACGATATGGAAGGTTGATCGTTTAGCAAACTCTCTTGATCTGACACACAACAAGTGTATTAAACAAAGTGTACTATGCTCAAAAGTTAAGCATCATTTATGATCAGTTTATTTTAAAAAAATAATTATTGGTACAAGTGGGCACAAAAATATATCAGTTTTAAAAATAATCAACAACTGGAAAGTACTATCCTAGTTAACGTTTCACCAATTAAATAAAGAAGCTTTGGACGTAAAATGACTAATACACTTCCCAATGGTAATTTGAGCATCTCTATCTGGATTCTGTTTTTTGATATTACAGACACTAAATTTCTGAAGATTCTGTGGTATTGTGTAATAAATAATTGTTTAATGCATTATTTCCATTAAGAAATGACAAATGTTTTATATGAAATACCTATGAATTTGACTTTTACCTATAAATGTGTTGTAGCTTAATTTTTGAGGATAATTTTCATCCAATTAGCACTAGTTTGAGTATAATTGGAAACTTGTCTTACATCATGACTCCTAAGTATTGCCTAATCACAAGAAGTATGAACTTCTAGGTAAAAAAAACCAACATTACTAACTATTTTTCATGATGTATATCTGAAGAAAGAAAATATAGGTACAATATTTAAATATTTGATTACAGACTTTCTTCAATAAGGTTTCATAAAATGAACTAAGATTGTATCAAGCAAGTGATGAGTGTACTGCTTTTTTGAGAAACATATTCCTCAGAAATTCGTCTTAATTTGCCATTATTTTCAAGTTTATTGTTTCTAATAATAAAGCTGTGAAGATTGTTAAATTTCATTGAGATCACTGATCATTATAAGTTAGAAAACCATTGAAAATCTAGAAGCACTGAACGGCTATTTTGACCTAGTACGGGACTCCTCGAATGTGAGCACTCATGACTCTGAAACTTCAAATCGAATCCAGGACCTCTAGAATGGCACATAAACTCCCAACCCTTAAACGATTGAGCTGAAATCACATGGTGCAGAAGTCTAACTTCAATCAATCCACAACTATCCTTCATTGTCATTAATGGGTACCTTCCTCAAATCTGACACGGATGAACTCCACTGATCACGGCTTTTCACTTGAACTACGGAAATTTCCTCTTAAAGCTAGTGATCATCACTAGTGATCATATGATTCCCATTCATCGTACTTTTGACGGTTATCACATAAGGACTAGATGTCTCTTCAGTGTTTATAGGTTTTCAATGATTTGATTGATTCATGATCTCAATGATAAAAAATCGTTTACTTTAACTATGGTTATTTGTTAACTATTGATAAAAGAATTGATCTATTTACTTTATAAATGTTATACAGAATATATCACTACTATCAATCATTTATCATAACATAATTCTCATTAAAAAGGATATGTCATTAACTCTTCACATTAATCAGTTTAAATAATAATAAGGTATTCTATAGAGTTGAGATCATGAGTCAATTGAAGCTAGACTACCATGGAAAACCTGGAAGCACTGGACGGCCGTTTCGTCCTATTATGGGACTCCTCAGCAGTGCGCGTCCACGAACCCACTCTCGCGGGATTCGAACCCAGGACCTACCAGTTTCGAGCCGAAGCCCTTAACCGATAGACCACTGAGCTGGCATCCAACGGTGTTAATTTCTGATGACATTGGTGAATGGTTGCTCAATTTCGTGAATCAGTTGAAGTTAGAAATTAACACCGTTGGATGCCAGCTCAGTGGTCTATCGGTTAAGGGCTTCGGCTCGAAACTGGTAGGTCCTGGGTTCGAATCCCGCGAGAGTGGGTTCGTGGACGCGCACTGCTGAGGAGTCCCATAATAGGACGAAACGGCCGTCCAGTGCTTCCAGGTTTTCCATGGTAGTCTAGCTTCAATTGACTCATGATCTCAACTCTATAAAATACTAAAATCTCCACAAAACCCCTTCTGATAATAAGGTATTCAGCTAAATAGTAAATATTCCAACTACATATTTATTGAAAATAAGATATTTCTATTGAATGTGTTATATTAGTTTGTAGTGTTTTCTTACTAATCGTCAAATATCAGTTAACTATAAATCTTATATGTTTACTATGAAACAAAGACCATCTATCAGATTTGTGTTTATCATTATAAACTTTCACACCAGTAAATGTTTTTAAATAAAAAATAGGTTTGATATGTTCATTGCTTCTATTTGTCTTGATAAAGGATAAATCTTTTACAAAGAACTAAACTAAGATTTATTATAACTGATTGATATACGTGTTAGTTAACTAAACAGTTTAAAAAAAACCTGGTTACTAAAATAATCGATACTATTGAATATTGAAAATTCATTAATTTTAAATGTAGTTTTTAAACTACATTTTTTAAAAAAAAATGTTCCCCTATTAGGAAAATCAATAAACTTATATAGTTTTGAACGCCTATTTTGTTGGTAATTCGTCGTTATGAAACAGAATAAATAGGATCATTATTTCTTTATTGTTTGCTTAGTTTTGAGATCTTAAAATTTTACGAAATAT